TATGTCTGTTGTTACAGTTGGAATAACCTGAGAATTATATTTTGTGAAATGGGTAGTTTTAGGTATCATTTCGCTTTGGGAAGTCCTGTCAATACGAAAGAAGTCAGTTTTGACCTAAGACAAGTCAGATGATAAAATAATTTATTTTTCTTTCTTTAGTCTTGTTTTCCTAAAAACAACCACATTGACCAATTCATTAGAAAAGATTAAATAATCTAAAACATATCGTAAGTGATAAAGTCCTTTATAATCCCACCACAAGAGAGCGCCACTATTGACTATTGGGTTCTATCCTCCTAATATCTCATCATTTAAAAAAATAATTTAAACATTAATTATGAATTACCTGGTAAATGCAAAACATATATATAATGCACATATATAAGTTCTGAAGGCTAACAACCAGGAGCCCACTATTTGACATAAAAAATAGAACATCACCCATACTGTTAAAGACTGGTATGTGTTTCACCACAGTTTCATTCCTGTAACTTCCCCACAATACCAGGTAACAAATATTCTGATTTTTAAAAATTGTTCTCTTGCTTTTCTTTGTTTCATTCAAGTATAAGTATCCTCAAAAAACTGTCTTTTAACATTATAAAAATGCCTTAATACTTGTTATAGTCTCTTTGTAACTGACTTTTTCACTTAATATCAGGCTTCTAAGATTTGTCAGTGTTAATGCATATAGTTCTAACGGATGCATTTTCATTGCTGTGTAGTACTCCATTGAATATACTATCATTTATCCATTCGCTTTTTAATGGGCATTTGCCTGATTTTTAGTTTTACAACAATATCTTAGATGAAAAATACAAATGCAATGTATGGTACCAACTTGATGCTTTGTTAATCCTTTAACATGAGTGGCAGCATCTAAATGAAACAAAAAAGTCAGGAGAGAGCTAAGAATACCTTTGTTGGACCAGTGATTTTTACCTCATCCTTTTGGATATTGGCTTCCAAGCCTGTGCCACTTTGTACTCCTGCTTTATTATATCAATTATATTAATAGTAATAATTTACTTTTTATATCATTTTTGTATATTATTTAAATTTTATAAGTTCTGTGTATTACTAATAGCAATAGGTATTATTTATTGTATAGTTGCTTTATGCCAGGTACCGTGCCAAGCAATTTTTGTGCATTTATACCTCCTCACAGTTTTAAATCTTTCATTTGGAGATAATTTCAAACTTGCAGAAAAGTTGCAAAAATAAACAGAGTTGCGAAGAACACTCATATTCCCTTCACCTACATATAACTATTGATAACACTTTACCCCGTTCTGTGCTCTTCTGTGTGGATATGTATGTGAATATTTCATTTTTTCCTGAACCATTGGAGGGTAAGTTATATACATTGTACACTTTTATTCCTAAGTACTTCAGTNTCTTTCTATTTATGATTGTGCAAACAGTATAAGATCATTTTGTATGAGTTAATGTGGCTCACATGTCTATGGAGACAGAATCACGTAATTTGGCTAAGAACTTAGACTTTTGTGGCTTTTGTTGGGTGGGAACAGATTCCATTCCTGAGAAAAGGGTGGCTTTGAAATGCCTAATCTGGCATTTGTCATAGAGTAATACTTATGCTGTTTTAAAGCTAACTCAGTTCAGAACCTTGAGCTAAAGCAATGATTATAAATTTGCAGTGTACGTGTCATAAATGCAAAGGACTATGGCTTATAATACATTAAATTTAGTCTTTAGAACTGTTTATGAAAATTAAAGCGAAAAAATCATCAGTATATATATAAAAGAAGTCTTCATTAAAATAAGTTACATGACCACACGTTTTTTAAAATGGAAAGGATGCAATCAATTAACTAAAAATGAAGTTTCCAAGGAAATGAATGCTCGTGAAAATATATTAATACAACAGTTCGTAATGGATAAAAGAAAAAAAAAACCACCAACTAAAATACAATTTTCAAACTTAGGGATGTTCGTTTTTTCCTACCATCGAGGTCAAGTTAAAGCTAAGACCAAAAAGTTTCTGTTTTCTATCTTTTTGTCACCTTAGCTTTTCTCCAGTTTTGAGTAGAAACTGGAAACATTGACTGCCTTTGGGCTCAGCTTTTATTACGCCTTTTGTCCTCAATGGCATCTCTGTGCAATCTTGGAGCTTGCCTTTTCTCTGTAACTGCTGACCTCTCGCTTCTGTTTCGTAGGTAAATTTCCTGACAGTCAGTTAAATGAGTTTCTCATAAACAAAATCAAGGCTCTTAGGATTAAACATAAATAATGTGTCTCAAGTCATTAAATAAGACAGCCTTCTCCAGATTATCCTTTGGGATTTAGTAGTTTTACAGAATCTGAAAATATTGCCTAAATGAATGTCTCATTATTGAATTTAGTAGCTATGTTGCCCATAATAGGGAATAGAATGAAGAAAGGATTTAATACCTGTTAGTGAAGAAATGGTCTCAGGCAAGATGTAACTTAGGTGAGCCTCAGATTGTCTCAACATTGGAATTCAACTGCCCTTCCTTTCAAAATGACACTGCATATTAAAGTTTTTAGGAACATATAGCATACTATGTAAGTTACATTTTTTTTTTTAACTGTTGTTACCTTGAATTCATAGAAGGCAAAAGGTTGGTATTACAGCTTCTGATGAACCTGACCGCTGCTGCAGTGCAAATGTTCTGGATTTCCAAGAATAATTCTGATTTCACATAGTCTACCCTGTGGTTTGATCACATATACCATTAAAACATCGTAAATTCATATATATCTCCTGTCTTATAGCTGGTCCACCAGTCCTCCATCACATAATGTTCTAATTTGGAAAATATGGTCATAAGAGACTGGCTCATAGTAAAGACAATATTCACATAACTCCATAAGAAAAATATTGGTGATAGTTTAGGCAAGATTTTTTTCAGGCAATGGGTTGTTTTCTTAAAAACTTTTTATATTAGCATTTTAAATAGAGAATTGTGTAAAGATTTTTACTAGGCATTAACTCTGAAGATGATCTGTTTCAGAGAAATATGGTGAAGGTCTCTGAGGATCCTGCCGCAGAGGTCACTGGCAGAGGAGACCGTGGAGTCCCGGCTGTCCTTCCTGCACCCACGTCTGGACACCATGCTGTGCAAGAAACAGAAACAGATGCTGGTAACGGGATTTTATTCCCCCAGTCTTTGGAACAGCCATATTCACGGTTCTGGAGAGTTGCTTTGAGGATAAAAGGAAATCAAAGATGTGTACAGTTTTTGAGTGGACAAATGTGTAATATTACCCCTACTCAATGTGTGTCCGCTCCTTAAATTTCATTTTGCATTTAGAAGCCAGGGTTGCATTAGGCCCATTTACTTCAGTCTTTTCATGGTCTTCCCTCCATTCATAAGTGATTTTTATTAGAAGGAGGGTAATGAGAATTTTAATAGAGCAGTCATGTTTTTATTCCCTGGCTTTATTGAGAAATCAAGGGTTTCACATAAAGAGAATTGCCAAATAGCTGAGACCTTTTCATTCAAATTACTGAAGTTCATTCAACCATTTTTTAGTGGAAGCCTTTCTGAAGTATATTAGGTGTTTTCTGATTGATTTGTGAGTTTCCTGAGGGCAGGGGCAGTATCTTTATCTCTGCCTCCCCACCACACGGCAGAGTAAATGGCGCATAGTTTGTGTTCCTTGAATATTTGGTGAATTAATAATTTAACCTTTCCTTAGTGACCTAGAGTTGTTATTATGTCAAAGATTTAGTGTGCTGTACTACAGCCATTTGAGGTATTCAGAGTTCACTGAGGAATATAGGGCTTATGTTGCCTGATCACTGAGATATATATATAT